TTTTTGTAACGTACAAATTTTATGTTAAATTAATAAACTTTACCCTTCTAAGACTGCAACGGTGGGGCCGGAACCGAATCATAAACCTTTAAATCACGACCGTTGATTTCTTGACCAGATAAGAAAAGTACTGGAATCAATTCTTTCTCTTTGGACCGCTCCTGCAATCAAAGTCTATGTGTCGCTTTCTGATTGGCTGAACACCAGACTTTATTGTACCCATCTCCACCCGCTATATAAGGTCTCAAAGTGACGCCGTACACCTTTAACAGTCCACATTTCCGAACGAGCTTCTCTCCGTCTATAAATTGAAACCCAGTATCGGCTTTTGATTTTTCTTTTTCTTCTTCAAGCTATCTCGGTGGTCTCTGTTTTTCTTTTCTTTTCTTTTTTTTTTTCTTTTTCTTTTTTCTTTTATATCTATTCATGGCATCACAAGGTAGCCTCCTTCTTCAGAAACAGCTCAAAGGTATGAATTTTTTTAATATGGATTTAGCTTCAAATTTAGGATTTTTATTTTGTTTTTGAATGGAAATCCGTTCTGGGTGTTTAGCTTTTTGTTGATTTTAGTTGGGTTTTGTTTGATCGGGTTTGTTTTGGTGCAGATCTTTGTAAGAACCCGGTTGATGGATTCTCGGCCGGGTTAGTTGATGAGAATAATATCTTTGAATGGAGCGTTACAATTATTGGGCCACCAGAAACTCTTTAGTACGTCTTTTCTGCTTGTTAAATTTCATAAAGTTGTTGTTTTTATTTGCAATTGATTGTTCTGTATGATTAATTTTATGTGGGATTCTAGAAAATTTTGGGATTGTATTTAAGGGCATTTGGATTGGAGATTGGGTTTTCGGTTCCTTCATAATAGGTATCTGGGTTAATGGGATTTGATTGATTTGGGTTGGCTTTAGCTGGGATTTTAATAATTGAATAAAGTTTTTATTTCTGAATTGTATTTCCTGGTTTTTCTCATTTTTGGTAGGTTTTTGGGGTTCTAAGTTTGATTACCTGATTGGTTTTCTTGTATCGTAAGATTTTATGTGCTTGGTCTTGGTTTTAAGTTTTAACCTTTTTCTGTCATAGGTCGTTGAAGTTTTACTATCCATGATAATTTCCAGAGTTTGATGGGATGATAATTTCATAGGGGGTAGAGTAGTTGAAAGTTTCATCTTGAACACGTGATTGTGAAAACTGTAAAGGCATGTTGCAAGTCCAGCTTTATGTTGGAGTTTGCTTGGATTTGGCTTGTTATTTACTTTATTATAGCAGACAATAAGGTATCCTGTCCTCACTGTATGCTTGAATGGTCCGTATGATATTAGGAATTCACCTAAAGGGCACCATTTACTTGAAAGCACGATAAGTTTGCTGCTGAGCCTGATATTACTTCTTTTTGGCTATCTTCATAGTGTTTGTGACCAACTCCACTGTTCTACTTGTTGCTCCCAAATTGAGGTCTATGAGTTTATAATCTAATGATTTTTGCCTGTGGAGAGATTGTTCATTGATTTGCTACTTAGTGTATTTAGCTTGTCATTTAATAAGTAATTGAATTAATTGTCGTTTCATTATGTTTTGTATTATAAAATTTCAGTGAAGGGGGTTTTTTCAATGCCATCATGAGCTTTCCACCTAATTATCCAAACAGCCCACCTACAGTAAAGTTTACTTCAGAGATTTGGCATCCAAATGGTTGGTTAACTTATGTACTTGTTTCTTTAAAAAATTGTTAACTCACTTTCTGAATCACTTTGAGAAATTAACTTAATCTTGGTATGAATTACAGTATATCCTGATGGTCGTGTTTGCATTTCAATTCTTCATCCTCCTGGTGATGATCCGAATGGTTATGAGCTAGCCAGTGAACGATGGATGCCAGTGCATACTGTATGTCTAAATACTGTGGAACTGTTTGTTTCTTCATAACCTCCTTCTTGTATAGTTTCCTTTTGAACACGGCTTTGAAGGTTTCATATTTCTGATGATAATATCCATAGTAGCCTAGATGTCTAATGGGTACAAATTGAACATAGCTTCTTGTTAGTTTGTTGTTGAGTCTCATTAGCTCTTTGGTCTTCAATTAAACAGAAACTCTATCAATTATTTCCAGTCAGTGTATATGCTTTGATGGTTCTATGTGCAAGGTTATGTCGTTCTGAGATCTGTCTGCCATTAATTTTTCCATTTTTCTTTCTTATATTAGCATTTACATCTGTGGAACCCTTGTTGTATGACAGGTTGAAAGTATAGTTTTGAGTATTATATCAATGCTTTCCAGCCCTAATGACGAATCTCCTGCAAATGTCGAAGCTGCAGTAAGTGATCATTGATTATCTTATTAGATAGCATGCTAAGTAGTTCCCTTTTTTAAATCTTTCGGTTTGATGTGTTGGTTCTTAGATTAGAGTTCATCTTAACACCAGCATGAGTACTAAAACATCTTTTGTTAGATTATGCATGCAACAGCCCTTTGGGACATGACATTTGTAAACTTGAAAGTTTTGCCTAAGATGGAGTGTCTTTCTTAATTTTTTTTCTTTTTTTGGGTACTAACCTTTTGGTATTCGGAAGTCACATTGGGTCCCAACTAATTCGAGCCATGTCGGACCCCATAAGAGAGAAAGCTCTCCCAATGCTTATTTCTCCATTTATAAGACTTGAGCTCGAGACCTTACTTAAGATTAAGTGTCTTTCTTAATTACTAACAAGGGAAGATGTTTACAGAAGATGGCGTAAATAATATTTTTTCTATTTTTGCAGGGAAATAAGGACAATAGTTTCCTTTATTTCTTTTTCTTTTAAAAGAAGACAGGATCATAGGAGTCGAGTGGGGGGTACTTTGATGTCTCTTTGGTCGTGCCCGTCCTAGCAACCTTTCTTTTTGTGTGCAATTTAGTTGAGATTTATTTAAATCAATAATGCGTTAAGGGGGTGTTTGGTTGGGGGAACACCTTCTCCCTTAAAGTTTTCTAAACATTTCTCCTTATAAGGTTATTTACGTATTTTCACATATTAATACTACAACATATAAAAGATAAAAGTGGCATTTTTAGCATTTATTTTCCCTGACACAGTTTCTAACCCCAAAACCATTTTTCTTACACTTTTTGAAGGGAAAAAGTTCCCTTCAACTTTCTTTAAGTAGAACTCACTTGACAAATTTCTCTATATAAACTTCTTACCAAGCACAAAAAAATTAATAATTCAATAAAATTTTAACAAAATTTCATTAGAAAACATATCAACTTCTCATATAGTACTTTTTAAACCACTTTCCCAGTAAAAATTTTTTTAGTAAAGTTGGCCCTTTAATTAAATAAACCCTTAGCTTATAATTGGAACTTCGACATCAAAATTTGGCTCACTCCAACCTTGGGGGGAAGTGATGTTTCTGCTATGGAGATACATGTCCGTCACTATTCTTTCTTATTATGGCTGAAAACGATGTGGGAGTTGTAGTTTTTTCTATTAACTGGCATGTTTGAGATTGCTCATTGTGCTTAGAGAAATCGTTCGAAGGTCAAATAGTGTCCTTGTCATCATATCCTTTGTTGCAAAAGAAAATTCGGTCAACCTTTTTGCTCCTGAGATCTCTGTTTCTTTGATTTTGCAGAAAGAATGGAGAGATAGGAGAGATGAATTCAAGAAGAAGGTCAGCCGCTGTGTTAGACGGTCACAAGAAATGTTATGATCTGTGTACCAGAGAAATACTTTCATTTATTGTGTGGGGGGATCTGGGTGATGTGCCGTGTACTTGTAGAATGTGTCATCCGAAGTCCTTACACTCTTATCTTCGCCTTGATCCTTGGACCATGTCCCGTAATTGTATTAACTCAGAACTTTTGTATTCACAATCGTTTTTGGTTAGTGTTTGTTGAGGTTCTTCTTGAATCTCATTTTCTGTACCTGACTTTTTATTCAAACAACAATTTGTCTTCACTTAAATGTTTGGTGTTCTAATCAGTCTCTTAAGATTAAGTTTGTCTGTGTATGGATCAAATGCAAACTGTTGTTATGCGACACTCGAAAAGGTTGCAGAATTCAGACAGGTCATGCTGTAGGGTGAAAGCTTTTGTGGGCTGCCTGCTCACCAGCTTTCCCTATCGCACAGAAATGTAAGGATTTTGCCTCGTCCTTAACCGACACAACCTACAGGCATTCGCCGGTCTGAGCTTGGGACGGCGTTCTTTTGTTTTCTTTTCTAGGCTTAAGTTTCACGTGGCAGAATGCATGTTTAATCTGGCTTCTACAATGC